GGCAGGCGCAGCATCCTCGCTGGGAATTGGAGCTGGAGTGAGCGCACCGCGGGAGGAGCCGCCACAGCCTCGGAGATCCCGAGTGGAGGAGGTGACAGCTCCATTGCCGGGTTTTTATTTTTATTTTTTCTCCGCCTCCCCGTCTCCTCCTCAGGCTCGGACCATGGTGCAGTCCCACTGGCTCCCCTGCCCCCCTCTCCTGTGAGACTGGCTGCGGGGAGGGATCATGGATACTTGTCTGCCGGCTTCTGGTTCCCACGCAAGTAAGCCTGCTGTCAATGGAGGAGGACATTGATACCCGCAAAATCAACAACAGTTTCCTGCGCGACCACAGCTATGCGACCGAAGGTAACGCCAGCCCCGCCGCATTCCGCCGCTGGGGCCGGGCGCAAGTTGCGGATCGCTGTGCTCCGCGGGCTGCGGGGCGCGTGGTGGCGGAGACTCCTCCGGGGCTGGGGCGGGGGCTCGGCTCGCCGGGGCGGCCGCCGGAGCGCCCCACATTCATCCGGGCTCCGCGAGGCGAGCCCGGCGTTCAGCAGCAGGTGGACCCGGCGCCCACGGGAGTTAAAATGGCCCTCGGGGATTTTTCAGGGTGGGGCTCCCGGCTGGAAAAATGACCCCCCAAAAAACAGATGACCTCTTCCCCAGGATGTTTGCAGGGGGTCTTGCGGGGAGAGAAGAAGGAAGGGGCCCCGAGGACCGTGGGTCCTCCCCACCCTGAGCCGAGTGATGCATCTCTCAGTGGCTGCAGGGAGGGCATGGTTTCATTTCCTGCCGGCTCATCGCTGGCCCGGTTACCTGCTCAGACAATCAAACCCCCAAAGGGCCCTTTGCAGAAGGGCGAGCCTCTCTCCCCTTGGAAGTGCATTTGCAAGAAATGAAAAGGTGGCTGGGGAAACGGTGTTCGGGCGAGCGAATTCATGTGACACGTGGGGCGAGCAATGCGATCAGTGGGGCCTTTAAAAATCACCATTATGAATTCTGCAGCAGTAGTTTCTGCTGAATCAACAGCCAGCAGAAAGCATGAGGGTTCGCTAAGCTGAGCTTTGCCAAGAGGTGAAATTGTCGCCTCTCCCTCTCCCAGCTTGTTCTGATATTAGCCTGGTGCTGTGCACGCGGGCAGGGGAAAGTCAGCAGGTGGAACTCATTCTGCCTTTTGTGTGTGAATAGAGTGGAGGGGTGTCTTTTGTGTGTGTGTGTTTTTTTAATACCAAAACTTTTGTATTTTTGCTTTCATTTTCTACCTGGAGGCCTTTATCCTCAACCACTCAAACAAAGTGTTGCATTATCACATGGTCATATCCACGTGAGGAAATGTGTGCGAAAGCGCTTTAGGAAAATGTAGCAAGGTGTGTTACTTTAAGGCTATTCTTCTTGGATGCCAAAATATCTATAATTTTTAACAAATCAAGATAACTAGAGAAATGTGATGGGGGAGTAAAAGAGTTCAAGCTCTGAAAGAAATAAAAAAACACAACTTGGGGGGAGGAGCTGGCATTTTCTATAAATACCCTTGGAAGTTTTAGATTAAAAAAAAAACTGCCTGGCGCTATTGAAAATATGTTCTCTGTTCATCTTTATTATTGGAGAATAGCAAGCCTAATATTTCCATGGCGCTAGCAGATTAAACAGAGTGTGTGAGCTCTGGCCTCCGGGAGCTTAGAAATGGCTTTTAAGACGTGCAGCCCGTCCCTCCCCCATCCCAAGCACCATACTTGCTGATTCTTTTCATTTGCATGGTGACAACGTGGATGTAAGGTGTCCATCCTCAGTCTTGGTGCTTTGTCACTGACTCAGTTACCAGGTAGAATATTATTAGCTCTCTGTCTGAGCATGGCATCCAAGAGAGGAGTTGGCCTTGGGTCTGTTGGCTTTACTGGGGACACCACTTCTGTTTGTGAAGAAAGAAAGCTGCCCCCGTGTTTTCCGCTGTATTGCATAATGCTTCTGAGTGCAGGCAAAGGAAACTTACTGAGCTGAGAAGAGGAGCAAATTGGGGCCTTGTGTATAGAGAATACACAAGGGCCCTAGATACTACCTAAATTTTGTTCCTATGTCATGGCATTTCGGTAAATTGATTCTGAACCAAATGTCTGGGTTTATTTAGTCAAAATAAGGCAAAGAGCTTTCCAAAACCTTCCTAAATCAACCTCTCAGATTTCTCTCTGTCTCTGTCTCTCTCTTAGACCTCGACATTGTAAAAAGCAGGAGTTAGGTAGGGCAGGAAGTTCTCTGTGGTCTTACTCTGTTCATTTTAGGGAACATCCATGCAGTCATGCTGGCCAGAGAGGGAAGAGTCCCTCTGCTCCTGATGACAACCTTACAGGCGCTGGTACAGCTTGAAAGAGCACCAGATGAAAACAGTCTTCGTTAAAATCCTCTTTATTGGGGGTTTGCTCCCAAAGTTCTCTTCCCCTTTGTTAACTTAAACCCACTTTCTGAGGAATTAGCATCCAGGTCCTTCTGTAGACTTTGCTTTTTCCTCTCTCTCTCTCTCTCTCTCTCTCTCTCTCTCTCTCTCTCTCGAGATATTTTTCCTACCTGCGAAGATACGTCAGATTTTTTCCTCCAAGGTCTCCTTCCCATTTGTCTCTAAGCTTTCTTCCCTGTGCTCAGATCATTCCACACTGCAGTATTCTATTTAAAGCTGAAAGGGCTTTGCTGTGTAGTTAGTGTGAAGGACTGTAAGCTCAATTTGCATTGTAAGTGGTAGCTGCCTGCAAGTTTATCTCGCTAAGAGCAATGAAAATGCCAAAGGACACTTTTACCCAAGACCACCCCTCTCCTCTCTCTCTCTCTCTCTCTCTCTCTCTCTCTCTCTCTCTCTCTCCAGAAATGCATAGGTGTATTTATTAAAGACATTCTTATGCCTCTTCTTCTATTCTGGCCACTAAAGTTACCACCCTTCCCTACCATTTTCTATTTTTCCTCCCCTTTTTAAATTACCGTCTTTGAGCATCTTCTGTTCCAAGCAGTTCTGACTTTTTTATAGTAGCATTTTACTACAGCCAAACCCAGCTAAGTGGGTGCTGTTATGTCCATTTTCAAATAATGAAACAGCAACAGAGGCCCAGAGATGTTACTGGTTTGCCAAGGTCACACAGACAATCAAGGCATGAGCTTGTCTTCAAACTCAAGACTGTCGGAGGACCCACCACAGTCTCTCGCACTAGGAAGTTCTGCACAGCCTTAATTTTCTTTAACTGTGAGCTTCTGTTATGGGGAAGATCACAGTGGTTTTGTCTTTATGTATAAACTCTATTCTCATCTGGGGTAGAATTCTTTGCAGGGGTCATTTGAACGTGTGTATAGGGGTTAGATGTGAGGAAAAGCAGGGGTCATTTGAAAGTGTACATAGGGGTTATATATGAGGAAAAACATGGGTGGGGTTGGAATAGACACACACAGACACAGACACACACACACACACTCACACACACACACACTGGTTTTATTGGTTTTTCCCCAATGTAGTCGGTCTCTCTCTCTCTCTCTCTCTCTCTCTCTCTCTCTTGTTTTACTGGTTTTTCCCCATTGTGGAACCCTGAGTTCCCTAACCAGTGGTGCATCTCTCAAACCTATCTGATCTACATGTGGCTTTCTTTCTATATTTTTAGACTTGTCAGAACCAACTGAAAATCCCTCTCCATTAGAGCTGTCAAAAAGTTTTCTAGATCAATCTTCCTCCTCCCAAATGAGGCCACAGAGGGAATAGATGGGGTTTATAGGAATGGCAATCTGGTTAGAAGGGGAAGTCAGAAAACACATTTTAAAACAACTGCTCTGGTTTTGGTTTCCTTACCTATAAAATGGGAATAGCAGTAGAACCTATGCCACAGAAAAAACTAATACCGGGAAATCACTGAAGACAGTGCCTAATAGAAAGCCAGACCTCAATAAATGTCCTCAATACATTATAGCTGTTATTATTACTTATACTGCATTTTCATAGCAAGCACTGTTTTTCCTTGAATTGTTTGATTTGTGTTTATCTTAAAGGGAAGGGCTCGTGGAAGTAGGGGAGAGGCCACACTAAAACCCACCACCGTGTCTTCTGGGTTCAGCCACTAACCATGGATCTTGCCATTTATTAATTTGCCTTAATGTATTTGCTGATTATATTCTGGTAGCAAATAAGTTCTGTCTTCTCTCGGAGGCCTTAAAAACCCATACTGTTTGTGTGTATTAAAGGAAGAACTAATTATTCCATGTTGCTCCTTCCAATAATTAAAGGCAGATTCACTCAGAGACATGGTCTCTGTCCTTGTGGTGCCTTCAGTCTAGCCGAGGAGGTAGATGTGAAATAATTTTGCAAATAAGTATGTGGTTACCAATTGTAGTAAGTGATCTTTAGGAAAAGCACAAGATGCCTGAGGTCATATGTAAGGCGGAAAGGCAGATCTAATTTAGATTGGGGATTCAGAGAAAGTTTAAGCTGAGAACTAAAGGCTGAGTCAGGAATTAACAAGAGCTAAAGGCATTTCAGGTTAAAAGGACAATCTGTACAAAGCTCAGAGATATAAAATAGTTGGGCAGATCCAAGGAGTGGCAAG